TCCTGCGACCCTCGATCGGCCGCAGCAGGTACTCACTGGAGCAGATCAAGGACATGGCGCCGCCGCTGTGCTCCGAGGCGCCACACGCCGGGCTCCGGGCTTAGCTTCGGAGCTGCCGCGGGACAGTTCTTGCTCCCCGCTGCTTCCGGGACGCTCCGCGGCGAGCGGAGAGCTACCACCCCGAGCGACAATCGCGCAGCCCTTCACGTGCGACTGCGGCGGATCGCGCGCCTCTGCCTGTACTTAACGGAAACTGCCCTTTCCCAGAACGCCACGGGGCAGGAAAGGGCGCGCCAGGGAACACTCGGCTATTTCCGGACCAACTCGGCTCCTTCCGTAAAATGCTCCCTGCGGCAGGGAGAGGAGAGGTCCGGAACTACACTTCCCATGATGCAGCGGGAATTTTAAAACCAATGTATTTTCGCAACCTTTTTGAGACCCGTGCGCGCTGGGCCGTGGAGCCACGATCTTGCAAACTCTTAAGTGTACGCGAGCATTTCCTAACAAACTTGGTAAAACGCATATTCCTGAGGTCTGCCTTAGAGAGCCTGCTAGTGACCCGGTGAAGAAAGCAGCCACTGGCCGAAGCCGTGCTGGCCCTGCCTGGACTCCCAATTTGCTCTGCGATCTCGGGCAAGTCATCAGCTCCTCTGCCCCTTTCCTACATGACTTCTGTTTCCCTTCCAACTCAGATCGTGTAGGGTTCTTTGTGGATACCTATAAAATACGATACTCCCAGAAATCATGTACTGAACATGTGGTGTGAGCTATAAGGGGTCCAGACCAAGCAGCAGGAACAGACAGGTGTGTCTTCTTCGCCGAAGAGGTGTGGCTGATATGCAGATGGAAGAGAAGCAGCACAGAGGGCGCCCGAAGAGGAGGGACAGCACAAACAAGGGCTGGGGAGAAGGGCAGAAGTTGCAGGAGTGAAGGTTAGTATGACATGGTGCCCAAGAGCCTGGACTCTGAGGTCGGATTGTGTGTGCCCTAATCCCAGCTCCACCCAGCTGGTAAACTTGTGAACTTCTCTACCTCAATTCCCGCATCGGTACAACCGGGGGGGGGGGGGGGGTGACAACAAGGGTTGCACTAACTCAGAGGGTTGTTGTGAGGATCTAATATTCAAAAAGCGCTTTGAATAAATTTGACGCAACTGTTAGAAAGGCTTCTGGAAGGCGAGGCCCAGGATGCCACAGAGTCTGTTGGGAAGAGACCCGTGGCGGAGGGTCCAGAGCACGATGGATGCTCTGGCCAACGTCCGAGGGAAAGAAACACCTGGAAGAGGCGACAGGCTGTTGCTAACTCCTGTGCCGGCGGGTCCGGGAAGAAGACAGAGTTAGAAGGCTGTGCAGGTCAGGGAAAGGGAGTGTGGAGTTTGGGGAACTGCTTTAGTATCAAAGGTGAGCTCCCCCAGGGCAGCCGATGTCATCTAAGCATTGAAACAGCAACTAGGATGTTTTTTAAAAATGAGATCAATTTTGTGTGACTTTATTGTTTTTGTTTTAATCCTCACCCGAGGATATTTTCCCATGGATTTTCAGAGAGAGGGAAAGACGGAGAAACACACCGATTGGTTGCCTCCGGCACGTGCTCCCACCGGTGCCCTTGACCGAATCGAACCCGGGGCCGCAGGGCAATGCTCTATCCACTGAGGCAAACCGGCTAATGCACCTGGGATGCTTTTTAAGTGCACACTGTTACCTCATTGAATTTCCACACAACTGAGACTCAGAGAGATGAAGCCGGCAAGGGGTCACCTCATTCCAAATCCGCCCCCCCCCCCCCATTCTTC